AAAAATATTTATAATATATAATATATAGTAATCAAAATATATATATTATTTCGATTACTATATATTATGTATTATAAACAAATTTATAAAGGATCTTGCACAATTTATATAAAAAAAATCATTTTCAATCAATTTGCTTGAATTTGTCATATGTTATAGTTCTTAAATTTACAAAGATAAAAACTGATTTCAATAAAGGCATATGTAAGTGAAAATTGGCTATGCATTGAATAAAAGCAACTTCATGTACCTTTTATGACTTTACGATTATTTACTGACTATCAGGAGAGAATAAGAATAGTTTCGTTTATCTTTACAATTGTTTTAATTGCGTATGTACAGTAAACAATATTGCGCAGTCATAGTCGAGTATAGATTAGAAAATGCTAGAAATTACTACTTGAAACATTCTTTGTCAGATCGCGAAACTACCGCCAACTCATTTCAAGGCTCTGCGCACAATAGAAGGAATTAGGAATAAAGAATAAACGATTTTAACCTATCAGAAATCGGATACATTGGAATACATTAGTTTCTTATAAGTTGAAATTTATTTCTAATTCCTTATTTCTTCTATTGTGCGCAAAGTCCAATAGTATATTAAGCCTGCAGCACACGATGCTTGTTCTGTTGGATTGCTAACTGGATTAGAATCTTGCCACTGTATTGACTGCAATGCTATCAACCTAGTTTTCACCAAGGATTTAATCCGGATCAGAGAGTCGATTCTATATCTTGAAAAAAAGAGGTCGATTCTGTATTTTCAAACAAGCAAATTTACTAGGTGTTGACCAATGAAATTATCAGTATTCTAATAAATTCGCTCTCACTTTTATAATTTTCACCTCATTTCAAGATACAGACTGTGGTTAAAGTCTCGCTATAAATGCTTTGAAGCATTTGATGAACCTTAGAAGAAAGAATTTTATAAACCTGACTAATTAAAAAATGCTTCAAAGCGTTTGCAGCCTCGTTTCAAAATATAGAATCGATTCCCAGAATGTAAGAATCAATCAACTACAGTCGAGTATTCCCCTGTTACAGTCGAACGACAGGGGAATGCTGGACTGTAGTTAATTGGTTCTTAGGCCGGAATCAGATTATGCATTGCAGATTGAGATTGAAGATTAAAGATTGAAATTTCACCAATGAGGACAAAAAAATTCTGGCTCCTTTTGTTCTGATCAGTCAAACTTCAATCATTTAATCTTCAATCTCATTCTTCAATGCGTAGTCTGATTCTAGCCTTACATTCTGATCCGGATTAAACTCTCGATAGAAACTAGACCAGTGCCAACATCGCAGCCAATAACAATCCAGTAAGAAAATAGCATCGTGCCATAGACTTTATTTTGGCGCCGAAAATGAGCATTGATGAGCATCGAGCGTCAGCATGGAAAGACATACGTAGAAATTCATGGTTATTCCGATCAGCGGACTCCCTCATGAATCACGATACGGCTGGATTCGGCGCACGACAGTCTCACTTTTCTTCACGGATGGAGTTGAATCTCCTTCCCTCTTATTTTTGTGGGTTTCTCTCTGGTGATACGTAAGTCTACTGTGTAGATATAAACAAGGACATAACGATCTTTATTGAATGCGCGGTTTATCAACCTTGTCGACAATGTGCAAGCAATTCCGTCGAGAATGAATTAGTAACAGTCGTTTGTCATACAATGTGAAACCATTATGGCACAACTATTTGCAACTATCGTAATACTGTTGATTGTGTTTTAATTCATGTTTTTTCTTTTTCTTTTTTTTTTATATCGACTAATTACTATCGGTTCACATTGCGACTATGTCGTGGAAGGTAAAATATCGTTTAATATTGAGAAATAATAATGTTATTTGCTTTATTCTGATTCTAAAATGAGTCGGTAGTAGATAATCGGAAATCTCAACCAGTCTTAACCTTAGTCGTAAGTTAGTTGTTGGCCAATTTTACCGATTAAGACTTAGGATTGCTTAGGACAGAGCTGAGATTTCGTTGCACATTTCGACCGATTTTCAGCTTGGTTCCTGCTCCTTACTTCACCAACCGGCGCACAGCTTAAATGCCGATCGGCCGAAATATACAACTAAGGCCATGTTCGTATATTACTGCCAGTTCATTGCCAGTACTGAAAATCTATAATTACGTATGCTATTGACAACTGACAGTATATGAACGCGATCTTAATTCCAGTTCTGGTTTAGGACTACCGATTTATTATAGAATGCCGATTACAATGACTTAAAATGTAATGTCAATTTGTTGAGCTGGAGATATGTATATAAAACTACCCAGCAAATGACGCAGTAGCTATGTTCCAAAATTGATTGCCTATATCAAAAATCTATAGTGCATGTAACATAAACTATAGCATTTTCAGCACTGGCAGTAAATTTGGAGCACAGCCATTGTGATACAGTGATCATGTCATCTTGGTTTAACATTTGCAAACAAAGATATAATGGATCCACTATGTTACACTGTCACCTGCGTCTCTTGCTGAAAATCCATAGTAATGATTGTAAATTGTTCAGTGTCACAATTCATATATTATTTATTCTCACTTTGCATCGCTTTTCAGAAAATAATCGAACCAACTTCAAAAGAACTTGCTTTTCGTAAAAAACATTTTCATGGTAGGTTAATTTTGCCTTATAATTTATGTAT